TTGTGCCACTGGTAACTGTGAGAAGTTGGATTGATTACTGGAGGGAGTGTCGAGGTTTGGGTTCTAATGCTTGCTGGTTAAACTAGTAGTTTACTTTGGGGAACGTTGATTTGCCATCTTTGGGGAAAATATTATTTATAAAATGGAACACAGAGTGGCTGGAGGTAGGCAAGGTCCCCTGGAGAGCCCAAACAGAGGGTCTCCATGGGGTGCTGACAGCCTGTAGGAGAGAGATGCTGTGGGGAAGCAGCACCACCAGCAAACCATTGCCTTCTGAGCGACATCCAAGAGCAAGATTCTCCTCAAAGCAGGCTTCCTTTGTGAGGATTTTTTTAGTCTTTTTGAGACAGGGTTTCCCTGTAGCCCCAGCTGGCCTGGAACTTGCTAAGTAGACCAGGCTGGCCTTGAACTCAGAGATCCACCTGCTTCTGCCTCTCAACTGCTGGGATTAAAGGTGTGCACCACTATGCCAAGCTGAGGATTTTTTTTAATTAAACAAATTTAAATTTATTTTTATTTTATGTGTATGAGTGTTTTGCTTGCCATGTATGTACAATGTCCACCAAGGCTTGAAGAGGACATTGGATCCCCTGGAACTGAAGTTATTGCCAATTGTTACCATGTGGGTGCTGGGAACTGAATCTGTGTCCTCTGCAAGAGCAGCCAGTGCTTTTAACCCAATTCGTCTCTCTGGCCCTATGAGGATTTTTTTTTTAATGCCTCCCATCCTTTAGGAAATGTGAGCAATGTTTGGGGGTGCAGCAGGCAGCAACCCTTCCTCTTCTGAGGTGTGTGTGTTCATGTACGTGGATGCCCAGCTGCACTTATACCTTTGTTGTGGCAGTGCTGATAGTAACCACTGTGTGACTGGGCACCAGACTGTGCAGGGAGATGTTCCCAAGGGCTCATTGCTGATGGTGGCTATCCCAGGGAGTTCCAGTGCAGGAGGACCACTGCCTTAGGGCTGGTGACAGGCTCCTGCCACCCTGCCGGGTCCTCAGGGTGTGTTGAGGGCCATTGCCATGGTCTGCCACAGCAGTGGAAGGAGAGCAGGAGAGATGTGTAATGTGGGGGCAGGTCATCCTGAGGAGGGTGCCGGGAGAAGAGTGGTTCAGAACCCAGCTCTCACCTGTGATTAATATGTGACATGAAAGAACCTTAGGGTGACAGCAGGAGAAGCCACCCCATATGTTTGTGTTGAGGACCCCAAGTGTGAAGACGCTCTCCTTGGGTGCCTGTGTTGGAGACCCCCGAGAATGAGGATGCTCTCCCCCATATCTGTGCCAAAGACTCCAAAAGTGAGGATGCTCTCCAGTTTTGCAGTCAAGACAGCTACTTGATTTGATGTTCAGCTGGATGTATAGATTTAGCTGGTGAGGCGTCGGCTTCCACCAGCTCCTGGAACCTCCTTCCAACCTTCCAATCAACCTACCTACTTTCTTTCTTCCCTCTCTCCTTCCCTTCCTCCTCCTCTCTCCTTATTAAAATGGAAGCGTGGGGACTGGAGAGATGGCTCAGTGGTTAAAATGACATTATGCTCTTTCAGAAGAGTTCAGTTCTTAGCACCCATGGGCAGCTCATAACTGCCTCTAACTCCAGCTCTGGGAATCTGATACCCTCTTCTGGCCTCCTCAGGCACTGCATGCATGTACACAAACCCATACACAAATATATACAGAAACCCAAAATTAAAAGTTAAAATAAGAGGTTGGAGAGATGGCTTAGTGGTTAAGAGTACTGACTGTTTTTGCAGAGGACCTGCGTTTGGTTTCTAGCACCCACATGGAGGCTAACAATCATTTGTAATTCCAGTTCCAGGGGATCCAATGCCCTCTTCTGGCCTCTGCAGGTACTGTATGCATGTAGTGCACTTACGTACATTCAGACAAAATATTTATAACACATCAAATCCAGAAATAAAATGCTAAATGAAAAAACACATAATTCTATTCTTTATTCAGCTACCCAGATTCCATCCAGGATCCCACATAACGCTTAGTGGTACTGTGTCCTTCTAATCCTCTTTGACTGTGATGGTTTCTAAGATTCCTTCTTTTGGAGTTGATCAGTTGTGAGGGCACAGGTCAGGTGCTTTGTAGGGTGCCCTCGTGGGCACCTGTATGGTGATTCTTGGGTCTGAATTACTACTGTGGGCCTTGCAGGCGAGTATTACCAGTGGAGAGCACTCTTGTTACCAAGAATGTCACAGGTTGCAGGTGAAGGGCCAGGTATTGGCCTTTTTCAGTGCAGAAATGATTGTGTGGTTCTCCTGTGGAGTTACTCCACCCCGTTTCTCACGGTGCTGTTGGAGGGGAGTCTCTGCAGTTGCACTTGGGGGAGGGGAGTGATGCTTGTCTTCCCTCATGGAAAGCTGTCTACACAGGTTATTTGGAATTTTCTACTGGGAGACTTTATCTCGTACCCTTCATTTATCCAGTTTTCTATATCCATGCAGCCTTGTCTTAGTTTCTTTTCCTGTTGCCTTGATAAAATATTCTGACAAAAGCAACTTAAGGGAGAAAGGGTTTATTCTGGCTCACAGTTTAAGGTTCAGTCCACCCTCCATGGCAGGGAAGTTAGGGCAGCAGGAGCGCGAAGCAGCTGGTCACATGACACCCACAGTCAAGAACAGAGGGTAATGAATGAATGTTAGTGCTCGGCTCACTTTCTCCATCATATGCAATCCAAGATCCCCTGCCCAGCAGATTCCCCCGAGTCCTATCCACAGTTGAGCCTGCCTACATCAGTCAATGTAATCAAGACAGGCACGCCTGAGGGCCATTTCCCAGGTTATTCTAGATTCTGTTAATCTGACAGTCCTGACTGTCACAGACCTCGTGGGGGCTATTTTATCTGTAGGGTTATTGTCTATCACAACTCATTCTCTTGTTTGGTCTGTTCCCTCTCTGACCTGTCACTTTGCTCCCATGAGCACATACTATTTCTGATTTTTTTTGGTGCGCTTGGGCAGTACAGGATGTTTCTGTCTCACTTCCTCTACTTCTTGCCCCAGTCCTAGAACCTGCTGATTCTTTAGGGGGCCCTGGTTCCTCTGGGAGGGAAAGTAGAGCTGGGAGTCAGAGCCTTGGGCTGGGCATGCTCACTGTGGCCTAGTGGTGTTTTTTTGGACCCTCTCAGCTGACAAAACAAGAAGTGTGTGTGTGTGTGTGTGTGTGTGTGTGTGTGTACATGTGTGCATGCACATATGCTAACCTCTGTCTACCCGCATATCTCTCTGTAACTGAATGAATCCATATTAGGCTCTGCATGAGCTTTTACTCCATCCTTCCTTCTGACATGAAGATCTTGGCTCCCCATTTGCTATGGTTGACTCTGCTGTTCATGTTCACAACCACAGGCAACAGAATTGGAATTGTCCATCTGCATCACTACAGGCAACACCTCCATCAAACAACAGTGCAACGCTTGTGTGTGGGCTCTCGCCTTTGGTTTTGTCTTTTCGTTCTTTTTGGGTGGGTGGGGGGGTCAGGATCTCACTACATAACCCAGACTGGCCTCAAACTCATGATCCTCCTGCATCAGCCACCTGAGTGCTAGGATCACAGGTGTGTGCCATCATGCCCCCTTGCCTACAGATCCCACTCCTGTACTGTTGCTGAGGTTAGCCCTTCCTGTATCCATTACTGGGCTCTTCATAAGTGGATGTCCTCTGTCTGAGAGCAGCAGCTAAAGCAAGGACAGCGGGTGTGGCCTGCAGCCCCAGGGACGTTACTCAGCAAGCACAGAGGTGGCTACATTCAAGAGGAGCTCTCTGGTCTGGAAGTAGGGGGGTGACACAGTAAGTACAGGGAGGCTGTAAAGTCACACATGGAAGTCAGGGAGTGGGGCATCTTTAGTGGGTTGCACAGTTGGTGGCTCTTTGATTTGGTGGCCCTTCTGGAAAAAGAGCCTTTTTCTTGCAGTGAGCTCAGGCCCATAAAGACAGAGACCAGGTCCCCAGATCTCCAGAGCTTAGGGTTTGGCTCAGATGTTGAGCTGAGAGTGTTCCAAAGGTTTAAGTTTTATGGCCTGCCTCTGAATCTCGTAAGTTGTCCTGCAGCCTCAATCTTTATCTCCTGTTACTGGTTTTAGGCCTGAGACGGAGCATCCTTCCCAGGCATAACTAACTGGTCCCCTAATGCCAAGTGCAAACCACACACAAGCTTCAAACGTGAACTCAACTGAGCAGGAGTCTCCAGGATGACCCTGAATCTTGGGGTCACTTCCTGTTGGATTCTGGGATGAAGAGGCACCTCTCATGCTTCAGAGAGGTGCTAGCCATCTGAAGTCCTGGTCTCAGTCCCCTTTACTTGCCTCCTGTATAACTGTTGCTGTGGCAGCTAGCTGTGTAGTTCAACAGTCTTAGCAGCAGCCTCCCTGAGTCTCTGCTGTCTCCCCAGGGCGATGACAGGGACACTCAGCCTGCTGCTGGACACCACACCTGAAGCATGAGGAACCACTGTCCTCAGAGAAGCCTGGACCAGCAGGGACAGAGGCTGTTGGAGGAGAACTTCTTTCCCAGGCCAGTCTGGGGCTTCTCTCAGACCCTCCTCTCCCTCCAGGATCCCCAGAAGACCCAATACACTTTGACATCATGCCCTTGAACTGATCTTTCCTCCTCTGCCCAGGTCCCAGCTCCCTGGGATCATGTCTCCCATGGTTCTTCTGTGCAGAAGCCCTGTTTCTGTCAGCTTCCTGGTGAATCCAAGCCAAGACTGGTGGGCTTGGTGGCCCATGTTTGGAATCCTGGCCCCAGGGAGCCCAACTCAGTGGGATCTCTAGGACAAGTTCTAGACCAATGAGAGACCCGGTCTCAA